ATGCAAACATTACATTTCTGCTGTAGGGGATAACTCACACTGCTGTGCTGTTGATTTGCGGACGGACTCTGCTTCAAATTACTGCACGGCCTCAAAGGGTCCACCCACATGTTTTCATCCATTTCTGCACAGGTCGCAACGTGTTCATCCCGACCACGACCCTGTTCTCCTACCGGCGCATTATATATCCCACCAAAAAAAAAGAAAGACACGCACCCCTCTGAAACTATAATAGCACGTCCCTACCAGATGTTGTCTCCTCCCTCCCCCTCGCTTCTCTCTACGCCTCTTCACTTTGTCCATGTTGAGCGGGTACCGCACAAACAATACCAACGAGGGCAAACTTGGTGGGAGATAACCTTTGAGGTGGACCAAGTTGGAATCCTGTGCTGGGAGGTAGCGTGCCGTTCTCCTCCGATTCAACAACCACGCGTGAAAAAAAGAACGTTGTCAAGACGCAACAATCCCGGCCTTTTTAGCTACTGCTGTACCTGGAATACCCCGGCCTTGAGGTCCTCGTACTCCAGGAATGGCCTTAGCTTCTCCTCCATGAAGGAGTAACACCCTGCCGTGCCGAAGACGTACTTTGGCAGCTTCACCGGGGGCAGGCCTCCCTTCAAAGCGTCAGTCCAGTCCTTGATATCCAACATCTGATTCATCACACCGATCAATACACATACGGTTGTTTAACTTATGTCATGAATAATTGGTACTTCGGTGCCATATGATAGTGGACTTTTGGGGAGTGCCATGAATGGCGGGTGTCCTGATCGGACGGCCTTCCCGGTTTTAGGTCTACAGTATCGGAGAAAAAACAACCCGGTCGACTCGTATTTTCCATGGCGTGATACGTTTCGTCAGCAAGGGATGAGCCACTATTACAGTAACGATAACGATGCACGGCTCGGCGAGGCTACGGTACGCTACTGCAGCAGTAGCAGCACCAAAATGTAAATGTTACACAGGGAAAAACAAAACATGCGCGGCTTCGAAATGCTCAATAACCGAATCAATTATTCTTCTTTCCAGTGATGTATACTCTAGTAGACCGCCGCAATACAACCAAAGGAACGATGAAAGGTTAACGTTTCTCGAACGGTGCAATATTTACCTTTTGGTGAATGAATACTCGATGGGCGCAAAAAAACAAGCGAAAGGAATCATGAAAAGGCCACCTCACACGCATGTGCTCGATGATCGCGAAATTACAGAAGAGTGATGAAATACAACAGAGGTCCAAATATTTACCTATTGGCGCATGTGCTCGATGATCGCGAAATTACAGAAGAGTAATGAAATACAACAGAGGTGAAATTATTAACCTTTTGGCGCATGTGCTCTATGATGGTCTCCACCACGAGGGGCAGGTCCGTGTTGCCCAGCAGGCGGACCATAGCCACCAAGTGCGTCCCTCCGACGAACCCTCGCCCGACAGAAAACATCTGAACGCCGCACGGGGGGGGCACGCAAGCGTCCGCGTGTTAACGTGCTAAACGAGACACTGTGGGCAACCGTTGTTTGTTATCCTCTCGCAGCGAGAAAAAGAAGGAAGAGTCGATATACAAAAGAAATATGTCATGTTCAAGTGCTTGGAAATGCATGTAAATTGGACATTTTTCCGACGTGCGCGAGAAATCAATCAAGGTGTCGAGCACGGCGATGCAGCAAACAGAGGAGACGAGACGAGAGCTTTCACCGCACACGTAAGCGACAAACACAGCTACACTACAATACAACGATTACTTGCTACAAACACTCGGGAGCAGCTATGTACTGCAGGTACATACGGCACACGGCAATACCCCAAAATAGTTGAACCAAATTCGTCTGTTGCACCGTGTATGGCAGTGTTTGCCCCCAAAGTGTCTCGAGCATTCCGGCCCGCGTCGGACAGAACAGATATTATTTTATTAGCCAAACACTTTACATGCCCTGAGTTCCATCCAAAACCTCCTCTCCTCTCCTCTTTTCTTCTCTTCTCGTCTCCTCTCCTTATCCCCCGAGGCAAGGCAAAGAAATCATCCCGTGGTCAGAGTCCCAAGCACAAGCAGGGTACAAACTTAAAAAAAGCCTCGGACCCTGCCCCCTGTGCGAAAAATGAAACGCTAACAAATAACAAGCCGCGAAATAAGAAAAAGTACTCGATCTTTGTCAACAAGACTCCAATCACGTACTGCTGTATCGTACCACCGTACCGTATGCCAATCATGAAAAGCGGGAGAATCTCTGGTGGCAAGACGAGCTACAGGACGCACGCGCGTAACATCTATCATTCAGTGTACACGCATACATTGGAAGTATGTAAACAAAGCAATACCTGCTCGAAAGCCTTGCCGCAAAGCCGTCCTCCCCCAAGGTTCTTGTCCAGCGTGGAAGGCGGTTGAGGGTACTTGGTCGGCTGAAAAATAAGAAGAAGAAGGGTCACGACAACGAGAGTACGTGAGCAACGAGCGATGCGAAGTGTACGTCGACACACTGGGTAACCAAATCGTTGCCAAGTCTATGTATCGTTGTTGTTGTTGTTGTTGTTGCTTCATGGATACAAGAGGAGACGTGGAATAGCGTGGCAATTCAGGAAAGGAGAAGGGTAATGCATGCAGCAGAACAATTAGGAGCGAGGTGACTAGGGGTAATTTTTCCCATTTTTTGTCGCCCCCACGATTACTGTTCCGTCGCTGGTGAGGTGAGTGGTCGTTGAGGCCGTTCGTTCGTCGTCACACATGTCATTCATAATATTAATAGCGCCATCGTCGTTCTTGTTGTCAACCGCATCTTGTCGCTTGCCCCGTCAAAAAAAAAAAACAGATCTACGAGTAGACATGTACTACAATATGCAGGACTGGCTCACCTTGAGCTCGACAGGGCTCTTCACCATGCGCCGCGTCGCCGCGCAATACCGGTAGTTGACGAAGAGGTCGAGCACCAGCACCTTCACCACGTGAGCCACGACTCTCCCTCTGCAGCTGGCCGGGCTCACAACTTCGTTCGCCTCTCCCCACAAACTCGAAAACGAGTCCACCTGGGAGGGGCCAGTCGCGTCCAAAAATAACAAGTCGAAAAGGAATATTCCGCGTGAGGTTCGGACACATTCGAAATATTTTGCTACATGGTCTTTACACAAACATCAGTATTCGACACAGCTAACAGCTGCACAGCAGTTCCACGGCACCCTGAACATGAAAACATGTTGGGCGGGAGGCGGTGGGCGGTGTTATTTTAACTTGAATATTTCCACCATGTTTGGTTTCGGGGAGGGCATATTACGGCCGACCTTCAATGTCCGAGTGGGATTGGGAAGGCCGGTTCCACGTAACGCGCCCCATGCCACCACTACCACTGCCACTTCCACTACCACCGCCGTTTAGATGATGTGCACCTATTGTACATGTGTGGCACCTCGTCTACTTCCCCGAGCACAACACAACAAAGAGCTCCACGGTGACATTCGCAACTCGACTCGAGTCGAACGATCGCATAAACCACGTGCAGCGGCATTCAACGTTTTGGTGCCTGCAGCTTGTTGGAGCCGGATATTCCGAACACTAACCAACAGAGCGAGGAGTTTAGCAAGAGATTCGTAGGGTGGCGAGAGCCCGTCGATCTGCTGGACGGAGCAAAGATATTTCGCTGCACGTCCGGACTGAAGGCATGGAAAGAAGAAACCACGTGGGGCTGGCTTTCCACTTATCTATCTAGCGTACGGCGGAGGTCGGGGGCGACAGGTCATGACGAAAGCCGACATCGCCAAATCAGCTGAAACAATGTTTCAGAAACCCAGCCTTTCATGTACACACCAAGTCGTTGCTCTTGGGCCTATTATTAACTAATAATACCCCCGTTGCACTGTCTTTTCCCCTTCGTGCACGCCCCGTTGCATCTTGCATCCTTATCTATCGTACAGACGTGACGTGTCTCCCCCCCTTTGCACTACCGCCTGCGCTCTCACCCCTAGGCCAGCCTGCTGTATGAGCAAGTGGGTCTTCTTCGCGGACTCGATGGACACTTCCAGCTCCACGATCCCGCTAAGACCACCGCTTTCGAAACGCCGCAGCGCCAGCTCCAAGTCCTGTGGATGACTCATCCCCGCAAACAAGACCCGCCATGCATGAGATCGATCGCAGTCAGATGATGCGCACAAGCGGGATTAACTTCGGGCTTTGGGCTGACAAAAAACGGTCCGCGTGCGTCGGGGAGCAGCCTCTTCATGGTACGGTCATGGCCAAGGAAAAGATTGATTTTCTTGCCTTGAAGAGTGGTACGCATACGCATGGTGAACAGAGAGCAGCAGCGCAACGTTTGCAACGACAACAGAAGCGCCTTCGTGTTGTGACATGTCTCACAAGAATAGGTGTGCGGCATCTCTTGTCTTTTCGCCCGGTGCATCCATGAATACACCGTTTGTGGTGATGACGTCAGATTCAACGCAAACCTTCACGACTCCAAAACTTGAAAAAATCCAACACGGCAACCGCCGTACTGCTGTACAATTTTCATTTCACAGCAGTATCAACAGAGTCTTGATTCGACAGGCCAACGGAAGGGTACATGGAAACGCCCATGCGATGCGATCTGTGCACATATATACTTCGGGAGACCACCAAACATCTCGCTTTCGAAAAAGAATATCCCCTCCTCTTTCGCGTTTTTTATGACAAACACATTGTTATCGCGCTCGCCACGCCTGCCGCGCTCACAGACACTCCCTCTTCACACAGACAGCAGCGGGAGCTGCGCAGTATATTAGCTCACCGTACCCAAGGCACAAAGCATTCCGTGGTAACCATTAACTATCAGAGGCGTTTCTGCCTGAAAATAAGCTCTTCGACTCATTCCTGATCCTCGCTGCAAAGCACATGCAGCGTCCGCACCCCGCCCCCCCTCCTCCTCTGCTCCCATCCCTCGTACCCCCGCACCTCTTTCTCTCACCTCCCCAATCTTGACGTTCATGGCGCCGGACACTCTGTGGCTCAAGTCTACCGATCGCCCCAAGAGCTGCACATGTCTCTGCTGAACTGGCGTCTGCGGAGAAAATAAATGAAAAAACATTGGAAGAATTGTTCGCCATTATTTTGATCGTGACAGGTGTGTGTCCCAATCAATAGCTGTACGCCTCAACAGGATACAGCATGAATGTACCTACCCTCCGAGACAGCAGAAATTACCTAACAAAAAGGCGATATGCGTCATCCCAAACTGAAGTACATCACAAGGATGAGGATAGAAAACACCCCACTTGAAAGGCATCGCACGCAGATGTGGGGCATGAAACACAGGGAGATGGTCTTCTACTATAAATAGTCGGTGACATTTGTTTCAAGGATATCGACGGGCCCACAGCCAGCGCGAGACCCATAAGTTCGTGGCTACCACGTGTGCGCAGGTTCGGACGAAGAGATATAATACAATAGCAAGTCTGACTCTGATGGACTGTATCGCCAAGAGACAACCCGCGGCCAAAAACCGTACCGTACCACAAGAGTACCCCAGGAGTAGCTTGACGCCCACCAGAAAGCAGACCACGGACGACAACAAAACCAGCGCATGAGCCACGGTAAATCACGCGGAACACACACCAGCAACAGCAGCCAAGACAACAATCAAAGTGTGTGCACACTGTTGTAAGCTGCACCTCGTAACGCCGTCGCCCAGGGATGAAATGCCCCAATCCCCTCCTGATTTCGTAGACCTTCTTGAAGGCCTTGTCCAGCACTGTCGACGCCGCCCAGTCCTTGAAGTATCCGAACACCTCAGCCTCCAGGTCGAAGAGCAGCTGCTTGAACACAAGGTTCACCTCCGCCTGACCGTACCCGAGGACGAGCATCGCATCAGCACTACTGTTACATCGTCATCAACAACGTGCGCAAGAAATGGATGAACGACTGGTCTGTGGTAAAGACCCATGGGGTGTTGGGTTCACCCACTCCGCCTGCCGCGCCGTACGACGTGGCAATCAAGCCGCGCCAAGTCCCCAGACTGATGGCTACATCACAGCGGCTGAGGATAACACCACCACGAGACCAACAACAATAAAAACGCCTCGAAGGAGACGCCACCGTATACACACACCACAGCACGGCGCTGGCACGCACGTACAATTATCTAGCGAGACATCTCGGCCACAACTACATACCATACCACACGGGACAACATTCTGGAGCCTCGCTTCGCAAAAAGAAACTACAGTATTCCGATTCTGTTTCTGAAGAATTTCTGGCCCGACTGCGTCCAGCAAAACACGTAAAAAATCCAGTTTTCCCGAGAAACCTCGACGACGTACTTCTTGACGCACACGAAAAAAAGAACATGAAAAAAGCCGTCCACTTTTGTCTCACTTGAATCTCGTTGAAAAGATACTGGCTGTTGAGCACGTACAGCGCCCGGTGCGCCGCGTCGTTGTACACGTCAAGTGCCCACAGCACCTCCTCCACCAGCACGTGCCCCATCTCCCCGCCGCTGCCCCCCTTCCCTTTCTTCTTACTCTTCTTGCCGCCGCCGCCGCCGCCGCCGCCGCCGCCGTACCCCGTCATCGAGCTGTCCGGGTCCCCCGCTATCCCCGCCCCCTTTCCCGCGGAGCCCTTTCCTTCGCCCCCCCCCACCCCGCCCGGGCCGGGCCCGTCGCCGGAGGCGGAGCCGATGGCCATGGCGCGCTTGGTCTTGACGATGTGCTCCGTGATGATCCAGGGGAAGGACATCTCTATGGGGAACTGTATCTCCTTCGTTAGCTCGAGGTGGTACTCTCGGTACCTTGTTTTTCGTACCATGGACAAGAGCAAAAGAGGGCACAAGTACACGCACGCGGTATAGAGCTGCACCGTGTGGCTAAGCCTACCGCATTCCGCATGCGAAGCACAGACTGCTGTTGCTGATAGACGTGCAGCCATCCGAAGCACTGCTGTCCAGGCGTTACTTACTCTTACAAACGGCCAACAAAGACGTGAGGACAAGCCTCCTCTCGATTACACGATATATATACATATATGAAGTAAGGAACAACGCAATGAAGGAAACGCGATGATCACGAATTTGTGCAACTTTCTTGCCATGTCTCCACGGCGACCCCGTCCCCCAATTTCACGATATACAAAAGATGTTTTCAGAGGTACTGTAATATGCATATACTAGAACACCGGGTAACCGCCGGACCAATACAAACAACAAGAACAGCAAACACTTGACAACATATAAGCTCCACAGCCCCCCCTCCCCTCCCCCCCCGCCCCGTTCTTTTCCATACCAGAGGTCCCCCAGGTCGGTCGACGACCGGATGGTGCCACCCAAGTCCAAGAGGTAGGGGAAGCCGAACGACTGCTCGTAGTAGGTCCTCAGCAGCCCTAGGTCTTCCTTCTTGAGGTCCTCTCTGCCCAAAACGCCGCTGCAAAGCAGGCCATCACAAAACAACAGAACGACAGTTCAGCAAGGAGAAGGCGTGCCGCGCAGAGTAAGAGCACGCGGCGGCGGGGATCGGGCGCGCGCGAGGGGGCTTCTCCATTGTCTGGCGTCATGGATGAGCGCAAGCGATGTGTTCTAAAATTCACTGGGGCAACCTTGAAGCAAGCGGCGAAGTGAATAATTTCGTTGTCGGAGAAGACCAAGTCCTCAAACAATATCGAGGTGGTATGCCGATGAGGCCTACGGTCGTAACCGCTCTTGCTACCCGCTGGACAAGAAAACTCGAGGCACCAAGCTGCCGGAGAGACCATAGCAGCAGCAGCACCACCCACATGCCAAGACAACCCGAGGCAATTACTGACTTATCCGTTATGCAATACCACACCACACCATACCATACCACACCATGCAACACCACGCCATACCGTACCGCAGCCCTACCTGCTCTGCCTGAGCTCGCTGTTCTCGTCGTAGATGGCCCGCACCATCGCCCTCACAAGCTGCAGTTGGGTCGAGCTAGGGCCCACCACTCTCCGCGGAGCCCCCTTCGCCTCTACCCTCCCCTGCGCCCTCTTGTACTTCTTGTAGTCCTCGGATGGAGCGACGCCGTCCGACCAGTCCGAGACCATCGATCGGAGCTGCCAACGCCACAAGGGAAACCAGAGAGGGTTGCGGAAGTGATCGTTGTAATCCGATGCTACGAATAAAAAAAGGGGGGGGGGGGGGTCATTGTTTGGACAGGCCGATAGGTCTGAGAAAAAAGCTCTTGACGACACCGTTCTAAAAGCCACCCCTGTTCGACATCGGTAACCCCTTTTTGTCAGCGGGGAGCAATCGAATGAGCTTTGAAAATCGGTTTACATACGGGGCGTGCCGTCCTATCTCCAGCGACATGTATAAAGGAAATTCAACTGAAAATGCTTCGCGGGAACCTTTATTTCGATTGCTCTAGTGTACCTGGCCTACATAGGGGGGTGTCATCATATCTTCAGCGATGTGTACGATAGGCAACTCAATTGAAAATGCTTCGCGGGAACCTCCGTTTGATTTCTCCACTGCTGTACCTGGAGCAAATGCGTGACGATATCCCGCTTCTTCTTGTCGGCTCTGTGTAGCACCGGCACCAGGTCCCCCTGCGACATTTGCTGCGTGGCTGCGTGGACGTGCAGCCTGAGAAGCGGCGCCAGGCGGCCTTCCGCCCGGGAAAGCAGGGACCCAAGAGACTTGGTCATCGTGATCACCTGCGGCGTCGACGGTAAAGAGGCGGTTTGAGGCCCCGTGTTGAAAAAGGGAGTGTTAGTGTTGACCTGGTGCATCAATAAATAGTAGTAACGTACCAAGACGGGGAAAGATGGGCTATAAGTACCGTACACACACCACCAGCAAAGCCGTTACGGGCAGTACAAGCGGTTGGGAGAAACGGGCCGCGATCTTGAGTGCTTGACAATCTGAAGCTTCCCTGTGGTTCGCGATGCCTCGCGTACAGCTCCAGCATGCAGTTAAACAACAGCGCCTGCAAGGTGCTCAGCAGAAGGTCGATGCACTATGCACTACCATCACTACCTCACTTGGACGTCTTAAAACAAACCCAGACCGCTAACGTAGTGCACGATAGTGGAAGCAATACACACGCTTGGTCAAACAACACGACCTCGTCCCACCTGCCCAATCGCCGTTGCGAAAAATTCCGATCCGTCATGGCGAGCCAAGGCGGTACCACACTATAATAGGACAACAGGGCAACACGTGTCGACAACACGTCTCACCATCTTCGCCAACACATTCCATTCCTCGTTCGACACCAACTTGATCTTCGTCCAACCCATCCCTGTCATGCACGATGTGCAAACAAAAAAGCAAAATCCCTCCGGCACTTCACACAAAAGTCTCGGCCACTACTGCTCTCTGATCGGCTCACTCCACGACGCACCTCCACAATCGCGCTCAGCTCGTTCGGGGACCAGTTGTACCGCACCACCCTCTCGTACTCCATCCCTTTCCCCATCGGGTCGCCCCCGGCCCTCTTGAACGCCGCCTGCGAGCACGGGTGGGTGTGCTTCCAGGCCATGCACTCCAGCACCACGCACGACCAGCGCTGCAGCAGCCTCAGGCCCACCATCACCAGCCGGGATACCCTAGCCGCTATCCTCACGTTCGTAGGGGTCTTGACGAAGGGACCCTTTCGTGCCCAACGACGACGACGACAACCACAACGACGACCACAGCAGTAGTCAGGGCGGATTAGGACGGCGACCAAAAGTCTGGGCTTTGTGGCTGGTGCTAAAATGATCGTGTATTCTCGGGTGCAGCGCGCGGGCTCCAGGCTGTGCCGTGAACCTATATCTTCCGTGGCACTGTACAGAGGTACCGTCCCATGCCGAAACAGCAACACCGGATTTCTCTGCCAGCTGTCATGTCACTACGTGTCGAGAAAACCATAATTCTCGCTGCCTTTACCCACCCCTTTCTTGGCCTCGAGACAATACCCCAAAGCACAACAATGCCCCTATCTCAATGGTCTAAAAACGAAGGCACGGACAACATGAGTACGCCCCCCCCCCTCCCCCTCCCCCCCCCCCCCCCCCGATCTCACCGTCCCTTTTTTTTTTTTCAAAAATTAAAACCTTGGGGTTTTTTTTTTTAAAAACCTGGTGTTTTTTTTCCCTTTTTGGATTAAAATTTTTTTTTTGCCCCGCGGGTTTTTTGGAAAAAATTCCCCCAAAAAAAAAAATTGGAAAGTGGGGAATTTTTTCCCCCCCATAAAAAAATTTTTTGGGTTTTTTCCCCCCCAAGTTTTAATATTTTTTTTTTTTTTTTTTTTTTTTTTTTTTTGGTCCAATCCCTAAA